TCTGACCTATAAACACAGGGTGGACGTCTGTGAGTCACGGATCACTGACTTGACTCTCTCACTTTTGTACTGAAGGTCATTTACAGACACAGTAAGTCAAGATGTGTATTTGTTTTCTTGATAGAGATCTTTATGATTTTTTGGTGGTATATTGACACAGACACGACAGTGTAGACACACACAGACACGACAGTGTAGACACACACAGACACGACAGTGTAGACACACACAGACACGACAGTGTAGACACACACAGACACGACAGTGTAGACACACACAGACACGACAGTGTAGACACACACAGACACGACAGTGTAGACACACACAGACACGACAGACGGTGTAGACACAGGCACGACAGACGGTGTAGACACACAGACACGACAGACGGTGTAGACACACAGGCACGACAGACGGTGTAGACACACAGGCACGACAGACGGTGTAGACACACAGGCACGACAGACGGTGTAGACATACAGACACGACAGACGGTGTAGACATACAGACACGACAGACGGTGTAGACACACAGGCACGACAGACGGTGTAGACACACAGGCACGACAGACGGTGTAGACACACAGGCACGACAGACGGTGTAGACACACAGGCACGACAGACGGTGTAGACACACAGGCACGACAGACGGTGTAGACACACAGGCACGACAGACGGTGTAGACACACAGGCACGACAGACGGTGTAGACACACAGGCACGACAGACGGTGTAGACACACAGGCACGACAGACGGTGTAGAGACACAGGCACGACAGACGGTGTAGAGACACAGGCACGACAGACGGTGTAGAGACACAGGCACGACAGACGGTGTAGAGACACAGGCACGACAGACGGTGTAGAGACACAGGCACGACAGACGGTGTAGAGACACAGGCACGACAGACGGTGTAGAGACACAGGCACGACAGACGGTGTAGAGACACAGGCACGACAGACGGTGTAGAGACACAGGCACGACAGACGGTGTAGAGACACAGGCACGACAGACGGTGTAGAGACACAGGCACGACAGACGGTGTAGAGACACAGGCACGACAGACGGTGTAGAGACACAGGCACGACAGACGGTGTAGAGACACAGGCACGACAGACGGTGTAAACACACAGGCACGACAGACGGTGTAGAGACACAGGCACGACAGACGGTGTAGACACACAGGCACGACAGACGGTGTAGACACACAGGCACGACAGACGGTGTAGACACACAGGCACGACAGACGGTATAGAAATACAAGAACAGAACAGTAACTCTGGAGATGATTTATACCGCCAACAGATGGCAGCACAAAGTCATTGCTCTCAAAAATATTCAATTATTTGTTTTACGGTGTTCAATAGACGCAGTTACTCTTGTAAACACCACAACATTAACATTTTAATATAACCAAATAAACATATACATAAACATATACCAATAAACATTTATACATAAACATATATTAAAATTTGTAGTAGAAAACAAGTCTAAAAGAGTACTCGCTGATTCCTTTCACAGAAAACCTCCACAAAATGATCAAAGAAAATGGTAAACGTTTTCAATGCCTTATATCGCAAGATAAAGTGTCCGGCGATGACAAACTAGAAGAAAATAGTGAGGCCAAAGAAATAGAACTGAAACGGCATCCTTCGGCTCCACCCACACATGAGCTCATCGTGGTTCAGTCGGTAATGCGCGTGTGTCTGGGGGTATTCGGGGATGTGCGTTCGAGCCCATTGCATAGCCTGAATATTTTCTAATAGATCAAAACGTTCTTGTGATTGTATTGTGTTATGTATGCTGGTCATTTACCTCTTGTTCATTGTGATGGCTTCCTGCAGGACCGCTGTGGGTCCCTGTGTCGTGTGTGTGTCTTAATGTGTGATTACACATCCCAACCCACACACTTTATTTGTGGTGGTGGGCAGCTGTTGTGTGGTGGTGGGCAGCTGTTGTGGGGGTGGGCAGCTGTTGTGGGGGTGGGCAGCTGTTGTGGTGGTGGGCAGCTGTTGTGGGGGTGGGCAGCTGTTGTGGTGGTGGTGGTGGGCAGCTGTTGTGGTGGTGGTGGTGGGCAGCTGTTGTTGTGGTGGTGGTGGGCAGCTGTTGTGGGGGTGGGCAGCTGTTGTGGTGGTGGTGGTGGGCAGCTGTTGTGGTGGTGGGCAGCTGTTGTTGTGGTGGTGGGCAGCTGTTGTGGTGATGGGCAGCTGTTGTGTGGTGGTGGGCAGCTGTTGTGTGGTGGTGGGCAGCTGTTGTGGTGGTGGGGGTGGGCAGCTGTTGTTGTGGTGGTGGGCAGCTGTTGTTGTTGTGGTGGTGGGCAGCTGTTGTTGTTGTGGTGGTAGACAGCTGTTGTTGTTGTGGTGGTAGGCAGCTGTTGTTGTGGTGGTGGGCAGCTGTTGTTGTTGTGGTGGTGGGCAGCTGTTGTTATTGTGGTGGTAGACAGCTGTTGTGGTGGGCAGCTGTTGTTGTTGTTGTGAAGACTCGCAACATATTTCCTCCCCATACAACATGTGCACATTATACTTAAAACATGTTTGCATCAATGAACATGTGCCTGAAGGTGACACATCAACGCAGCATCATCATCAATGTGTTATCAACGCGGCATTACCATGAGGCCCTCGTTAGTGGGGCGAGGAAGTCAATCTCGGTCAAGAACGCTGTAATCAAACGAGTCTGCTTCCGTTAGATAAATTGTCGCGGAGCAGAACTGAGGTCAAACAGATGTGTGGAGAAGGGGGGGAGGGGGGAAGAGGGGGTGGGTACTCACCTACGTGTAGTCAACTAGATGTGTCTGCAGGGTCGAGTGTCTGCTGTAAAGCCCCGGTTTTCGGCCAGTAATTGTTACGGTGAATCGCTTTAAGCCTGTAATACTATTACTGTGTAGGGCGTGGAAGGGAGTGGAGGGGGGATGTGAGGACAAGGGAGCTGGGATAGGAGGGTGAAGGGACGCTGGTACTTGGACCACCACCACGGGGTTCGACGGACCACCAGGGGGTTCGACGGACCACCAGGGGGTTCGACGGACCACCAGGGGGTTCGACGGACCACCAGGGGGTTCGATGGACCACCAGGGGGTTCGACGGACCAACCAGCCCGTTCCGCTCATTTGCGACTCTTAAACTGTAGTTCCTTGTAACTTTTCTGCGACTCATTTGTCTCTCTCGTTTCCAATCATGTCCCTCGTTCTACCGCTCGTCCCTCGTTCTACCGCTCGTACCTCGTTCTACCGCTCGTCCCTCGTTCTACCGCTCGTCCCTCGTTCTACCGCTCGTACCTTTAAACACGGCTTCGTTATCAACTCTGTTATTTCACCTTAAACAAAAAATACTACGTTATTCTCGGTCGTATTCTTCTTCCCTCCTGTGTGGCGTGTTGGGGTTCCGTCAGTCTTTCTACATCGTTCAGTCCCTCTAGTTGTGCAACGGTCCTTTTCTGCTTCTGATTTGTATTTTTTTTAGATAGGGGGTTCCATGCAGGGACGGCATACTCAAGAATGGATCTCCAATAGAATTATATTGCACTGGTGATGGTGGAGGTGTGTTGAGGTGTGTGTTGTGGTTGTGTTGTGTTGTGTTGTGGTGGTGTGCAGGTGTGTTGTGGTGGTGTGCAGGTGTGTGGTGGTGTCCAGGTGTGTTGGAGTTAATTTGAGACATACACAGTGTTGATTCTCATCAATTCATAAGTTGCTGTTGGCTGAGATTTACTCTCCCACGCTGTGTCTACCCTTCCTTCCCTCACTTCCCCCTCCCCTCACTCCCCCCTCCCCTCACTCCCCTCCCCTCACTCCCCTCCCCTCACTCCCCCCCCCTCACTCCCCCCACTCTACGCACCTCACAAATTTTCCTTCTACTAATAACCTAACATCTTCCTTACGGGCTATTCATGGCCGTGCCACCACTTGGGTGGCTGAATCTTCATCAATCAATCCTACCTTCCTACCAAACTCATCCTCCTCCCTGACTCTTCATCTCCCTATCCACTCTCCCCATCTCCCATGCTCGATGATGATTGATAAAGATTAAGCCATCCAAAAGGTGGCACGGGCATGAATAGCCCGTAAGTGGTGGCCCTTTTGAGCCATTACCAGTATCAAGAGCTGATACTGGAGATCTGTGGAGGTGCGACTGTACCCTGCGTGACGGGAGATGTCTCCCGTCTCCATGCTCGTCACCCAACCTACATTTATCTTACCTTGTCCTTATCCCCTCCCACTTCCCCCCCCCCTCCCACCGCCCCCCCCCCCTCCCACCTCCTTCCATTCCTCTTCTCATATGCCCATTATCCGTGTTTTCCGCCTCTTATCCCTACGTCCCATCTTCCATATCCCATTCCTCATCTGGGAATATGGGTTAGATGTTCATGATAATGACACGAGGTGTAAACTATGTGGTATGTTAAGGTCTCACACCCTGGCCCATTATGTTCTTGATTGTCCGTTGATTAATGTATATAGAAACACTGAGATAAGGACTGTTCCTGAACAAATAGCCTGGATGTGTCACAACGGAAAGGTTGATGATATTCTTGAGAGATATAAGAATTTTGCACCAAGATTGTAATATTTTGTTGAATTATCTGCAGGTGTCTTGCAAATTGTCTATACAGTATACCTAGGTCATAAAAGTATTTGTGTGTACGTCTGATACCATACTACTTGTGAAGGAGGAAATGTATATGTTTACCTCTCAGAATGTTTGGTAATATGTTTATTTGTGATGTGTGTCTATGTATATATTAACACGTTGTACTGAATGGGGTGAGAATAGCTTGAGCTACCTCATCCCTTTGTGTGTATTTTACCTCAATAAACTTATTTCAATTTCAATTTCAATTCCTCATCTGCCCTACTCTTTACCTTGCTTCTCCCCCCCCCCCATCCCTCTTTCCAACCATATTAAGCAAAAATGTTATATTTTGTCAATAAAGATGTTAATAACTTTCAACCCCCAGTAAAGAAATATTAATAAAGCAATCACGCGTGAGCTAAACACTTTTATGCTGCTAAGAATAAAAACTGCTGCCGCCAGGCCGCCGACGTCTCAACTGAGACGGACGCGAGGTCAAACAGACGGAGGCGGGATCAAACAGACGGACGCGAGGTCAAACAGACGGAGGCGGGATCAAACAGACGGACGCGAGGTCAAACAGACGAACGCGAGATCAAACAGACGGAGGCGGGATCAAACAGACGGACGCGAGGTCAAACAGACGAACGCGAGATCAAACAGATGGACGCGGGGTCAAACAGATGGACGCGGGGTCAAACAGACGGACGCGGGATCAAACAGACGGACGGGAGGTCAAACAGATGGACGCGGGGTCAAACAGACGGACGCGAGGTCAAACAGACGGACGCGGGGTCAAACAGATGGACGCGGGGTCAAACAGACGGACGCGAGGTCAAACAGACGGACGCGGGGTCAAACAGATGGACGCGAGGTCAAACAGACGGACGCGGGGTCAAACAGACGGACGCGGGATCAAACAGACGGACGCGGGATCAAACAGACGGACGCGAGGTCAAACAGACGAACGCGAGATCAAACAGACGGAGGCGGGATCAAACAGACGGACGCGAGGTCAAACAGACGGACGCGGGGTCAAACAGATGGACGCGGGGTCAAACAGACGGACGCGAGGTCAAACAGACGGACGCGGGGTCAAACAGATGGACGCGGGGTCAAACAGATGGACGCGGGGTCAAACAGACGGACGCGAGATCAAACAGATGGACGCGGGGTCAAACAGATGGACGCGGGGTCAAACAGACGGACGCGGGATCAAACAGACGGACGCGAGGTCAAACAGATGGACGCGGGGTCAAACAGACGGACGCGAGGTCAAACAGACGGACGCGGGGTCAAACAGATGGACGCGGGGTCAAACAGACGGACGCGAGGTCAAACAGACGGACGCGGGATCAAACAGACGGACGCGGGATCAAACAGACGGACGCGAGGTCAAACAGACGGACGCGGGATCAAACAGACGGACGCGGGATCAAACAGACGGACGCGGGGTCAAACAGACGGACGCGGGGTCAAACAGACGGACGCGGGATCAAACAGACGGACGCGGGATCAAACAGACGGACGCGAGGTCAAACAGATGGACGCGGGGTCAAACAGACGGACGCGGGATCAAACAGACGGACGCGAGGTCAAACAGACGGACGCGGGGTCAAACAGACGGACGCGGGGTCAAACAGACGGACGCGGGGTCAAACAGACGGACGCAAGATCAAACAGACGGACGCGGGGTCAAACAGACGGACGCAAGATCAAACAGATGGACGCGAGGTCAAACAGATGGACGCGGGGTCAAACAGACGGACGCGGGGTCAAACAGACGGACGCGAGATCAAACAGATGGACGCGGGATCAAACAGACGGACGCGAGATCAAACAGACGGACGCGGGATCAAACAGACGGACGCGAGATCAAACAGACGGACGCGAGATCAAACAGACGGACGCGGGATCAAACAGACGGACGCGAGATCAAACAGACGGACGCGGGATCAAACAGACGGACGCGAGATCAAACAGACGGACGCGAGATCAAACAGACGGACGCGAGATCAAACAGACGGACGCGGGATCAAACAGATGGACGGGTTCGTCAGGGCATGTGACTAATGCCTCTCCTCCCAACAATGATGCATTTATCGGGTTCTTTGTGTACGTCTCGTCGCTCAACGCTCCGCTAATTTCTGATCGCCATTGGGACTTCCCTAATCAGCGCGGCCCCTATTATCAGGAGTCAAGGTCTTGGGGAGGGTAAGGAGACACAAGGGGGCCAAAGAAGGGCTTGGAAAGAGGAAATTATCTTATAATTTGTTGTTCTTTAGGATCAGTGACGCGAGAGAGCGGGGCTGTGCCTACTCCGCTACACTCTAGCAACGTCCGCTACACACAGCAACACCCATTTGAAGGATGGCTTGCGGATAGAGTTCCACGCTGGAAATGCTGTAAACGCCGCCTTTGAACGCACCTCAGTGGGTTATTTTGAAGGTCCCGGGAGGCTGCACGCTCAGAGGAGTAATGAGAGCCTCCAACGCAGCCAACTGAGAAATTAGATCAGAGCCCCTTTTGTGGATATCCAGATGGGATGGTTGCCCTCAATTAGGTCAGGCATAAGGCGTGTGTATTGGGAGATCAGATACGCCAACGCGAGGTGGAGCTTGTTTGTGAGTTTGCAACACACTACTGGTAGAGTGAGCTCGTCGCGGTGGGTGACTCCAGGACCTTCCTGACGGTGAAGGGACGTCACATATGGCGTATTGGTAGGTCACCTTCCTGTCGGAGTGGAAAGAGCAGCTCCTAGTCTTAAATATAGACGCAAGGAATGAAATATATATATATATATATATATATATATATATATATATATATATATATATATATATATATATATATATATATATATATATATATATATATATGTCGTACCTAGTAGCCAGAACTCACTTCTCAGCCTACTATTCAAGGCCCGATTTGCCTAATAAGCCAAGTTTTCCTGAATTAATATATTTACTATAATTTTTTTCTTATGAAATGATAAAGCAACCCTTTTCTCTATGTATGAGGTCAATTTTTTTTTTATTGGAGTTAAAATTAACGTAGATATATGACCGAACCTAACCAACCCTACCTAACCTAACCTAACCTATATTTATAGGTAAGGTTAGGTTAGGTAGCCAAAAAAAGCTAGGTTAGGTTAGGTTAGGTAGGTTAGGTAGACGAAAAAACATTAATTCATGAAAACTTGGCTTATTAGGCAAATCGGGCCTTGAATAGTAGGCTGAGAAGTGCGTTCTGGCTATTAGGTACGACATATATATATATATATATATATATATATACACACACACACCGATGCCGAAGAAATATAAGAAAATTCACTTTCGCAAACAGAGTGGTAGACGATTGGAACAAGTTAGGTGAGAAGGTGGTGGAGGCCAAGACCGTCAGTAGTTTCAAAGCGTTATATGACAAAGAGTGCTGGGAAGACGGGACACCACGAGCGTAGCTCTCATCCTGTAACTACACTTAGGTAATTACACACACACACACATACACACACAGAAATAAGGGTATTCTGCCTCTCTGTGAACCTACAGATTATACTTCAGTTCTGAATTATGTTCAAGACTAAAATATGCTCGCTGGTAGGTCAATAAGCCTCCAGAGGGTGACACGCCTGAAGACGATCAGAAACATAGAGACAGAAAGGCTTGATGTAGGTGGCAGAGCTAGAAGGGTCGACCTCTGATGTATTAGTTGGTGCAAGGTTGTGTGTTGAACTGTTCACTCATTATTTCCACAGATACATTAAGCGTTGCACACGACGCTAATTTAGATTGTATGAACGTAAGAGGATATGTATACCGTATAGAACACAGCAAATTGTGGAACATCAGCTTGCATACCTGCAGAATAAAACCACAACAAACTGAAGTGAGAGATGCGGCAGCAGGAGTTGAATGTACCAAAATCAAAAGTCTGGTGTCGCGGGGAGAGAGAGAGAGAGAGAGAGCACCGTCAACATCAGAGGTCCACGACTCTTCAACCTTCCATCGGTGAGTTTAATTTTATATATCTGGAACCAAGGCTGAACCTTTCAACAGGAAACTTGACAAGTTCCCCCGGCGGTACTGGATCAACCGGGATGAGATAGCTGTATGAGCCTGCGGGCGGGAAGCACAAACAACTTGGAATATCCAAGGGAAGTACCAGGTTTAACCCGAGCAAAAGCAGGACTTCGAAGGTATATAAACTCCCGAAATCAATCACAGGTACACGGGGGAGACATCTCCCGTCACGCAGGGTGCAGTCGCACCTCCACAGATCTCCAGTATCATCTATTGATACTGGTAATGGCTCAAAAGGGCCTCCACTTACGGGCTATTCATGCCCGTGCCACCTTTTGGGTGGCTTAATCTTCATTAATCAATCAATCACAGGTAAACCATAGATATTGACAAAGAGGGCAAGTGAAACAATTATTTGACGAGGGAGGGACCAAGTGGCAGATACATGAATGGTAATGTTGACATCTTTCAATGAGCTAAAGGGACACGAGAAAGACCTTTCCGGTGTACGGGAAGTGACTCTATACACTCCCACGTCTTGCATGATAGAGCTCAAGGGGTTGGGGATCAACTGCTTCACTAGCTTTAAGAATTACAGTTGTTCAAGTTTAGTTACCGGAAATAGTGCTAGATGAGAGAGAGAGAGAAAAAGAAAGAAAGAAAAAGCCAGCGAATGAGCACACACACGCACGGACTCACTGTTCAGGTCATACGACCTGTAAGGAGTCATTTGCCGCGCAGCTAAACGCTTATGTAGTGAGAGGGCTTGGTAGATACTGCTACCAAGGTAGATACTACTATCTCTCTCTCTCTCTCTCTCTCTCTCTCTCTCTCTCTCTCTCTCTCTCTCTCTCTCTCTCCCCGTTCTTCCTTCCTTCCTTTGTTCATGCTGGTATAAACGTGAGTTCTTTAGCCTGGCTGTTGATGCACACTTGAAACCAACTAGCCAAGTTACTAAGCATCCTGACCCATCTGAGGCCTCGGGGCATGACTGAGATCTGAGAGGTGGCTGCTGAGGCTGCATCTGCTCTGGAGTGGGACAAGGTGATGCTGCAGGTAACGGTGTGTTGTGCTGGTCGGCTTACTACTTGTCGCAGCGTTGAAGTTACTGGTGGTGGTTGGTGCGGGTGACGGTAAAATATGAGGATGAGGTACAGCAGGTGGGGATAGGGGGCGTAGCTCAGCAGGTAGCATTACAGCTGGTTAGAGGGCAACGTAATGGGGGGAGGTACTGTAGTAGGTGGGATACAGCAGGGCGGGTAGAGGTTTGACAGCAGGTGGTGGAGGCGCGGTAGAGAGACGAGGGCGGCGTCTTCCTGAGGCGGCAGCGGTCCGCAAAGAAGCCCAGGGCGCGGCCTCCTTCCTGCGCTGGGAGTCGTAACATCATTATCCCGGTGAGAGGAAGTTGTTCCTCCTCCTCCGTGATGAGTCTCCATATTGTCACCTCATTATCTTGTTGACTCTCAGTCAGTCTGGGCCCTCGTGGCGACCTCCTCCTCTTATGATACAATATTTTGATGACTAGCGCTCTCATGTCCTTCTTAAACGACTCCAAGTGGGGGATGAGGTACGGCAGGAGTGGTGTACCACCACGTAAAGTGGGGGTTGTGGTACGTGGGAGGGACACATGGGACATCCCGGTGGGAGGCGTACCGTGGCCAGTGGCTGGGTCCTCCGCTAGATCTTCCTCACCTCGGCAGCCTCTCAGCATTGAGCGTTTTTCCAGTAATTTGGTTTCCAAATACGTGGGAGTTTCCGGTGCTGGGCCCAAGGAACAAGATTAAACAAAATAAAAACGCAAGAGATAAATCCGCTGTTTTATATATATATATATATATATATATATATATATATATATATATATATATATATATATATATATATATATATATATATATATATATAATATATATATATATATAATGTATGTGTATACAGGGTATGTGGAAGCTGGTCAGAATTGCATTTCACTTTTGTAAATGTACATTAATGACACTGTAAAAACACACATCGAACACTGTTTATGTAGGACAGACGTAAATCTGTGTATTTATGTATTTGTATGTAGATTAGATTAGCATTTTAAAAGCACTACAATCACCTTCTGTGGTTGATTGTTCAATAAATCACTGAACTGTATGATTAACTCTGTCCATGGAGGACAGAAGATGTTGATTATATGCTGGTTAGCATTGTAAATGTGTGGCCATGTTTGTGGTAGAAAAAAACAATGATAGATCACCATCACTGTCATCATCATCATCACCGCTGCCATCACCATCACCGCTACGGTCTCCACAGCCATCGTACCTTGTCTTGTGGTCTGCACAAATGGGTGACGCCCTTCGGCTTAGGACCATTTCCCCCCAGGCTGTGGTCCCGGTGGCGCTCCCAGCTACAGGACCAGGTTACTGCTGCTCTTACTGGGGGAATGTTTGCTTCTCCTGGAGTGTGGCTTAGTTTGTGCCTCTGTAGTAGTACTCTGGTGCTAGATGAGGCTCTCTCCTTGTACGAGGTGTGTTCCTTCGGTAATCAGTGTGCTATCTCTCTCTCTTTCTCTGTCTGTCTCTGTCTGTCTCTGTCTGTCTCTGTCTGTCTCTGTCTGTCTCTGTCTGTCTCTGTCTGTCTCTGTCTGTCTCTGTCTGTCTCTGTCTGTCCTGTCTGTCTGTCTGTCTGTCTGTCTGTCTGTCTGTCTGTCTGTCTGTCTGTCTGTCTGTCTGTCTGTCTGTCTGTCTGTCTCTCTCTCTCTCTCTTTCTCTCTCTCTCTCTCTCTCTCTCTCTCTCTCTCTCTCTCTCTCTCTCTCTCTCTCTCTCCCCCTCTCCCCCCGTTCGTTCAACTTCCTGTAGCCTCACTCTCTCCTACCAATGAACATCTTCCGCCATCGACTAACCCCTGTGCTCACCTTCTGAGCTTTCATCTGCTTTCTCCATTTCCTCTCCCTCCTCTTCCTGCATCAATGAACAAATACAGAAAGCATACATCTTCCTCCCTTCTTCCTCTCCCCCCCCCCCCACCTCCTGCTTCCCTGCCACAGAGGTTACACAGAGAACTTAAAGACCAACAGAGGTTTCCATCCGGAGGAGACGGCTTCAACCGGAAGTCTTACTTCGGGGTAAACAATCTTGGGCGCCGATTTACTTTGTGAAATCTTGTTTAAACAAGTATATATATATATATATATATATATAT